TAGCGCCGGTACCAAAGCGGCGATCACCAAGATTGCGCTCTAAGACCGATAGAGGGCGTCATGAAAAATGAGGGATATACGTCAATGAAATTCATTGCCGTTGTTACCTTGTGCCTTGTGCTTGCATATGCAGTTGATCTGTTCATTATTTTAATTCATTAATTTAGTTATAGAATCGTAGTGTTAATTTATAGTTAAATAAACAGAAGATCTATAGTGGTGACCCCGATTAAAAAACGAGTTATATACCTACGTGAACAACACGATTAAAAATTCGGTTATCTCGCCTTCGCGCATTTGTCTGCGGTATTCTGATAAAGACACGCCATCTTGTCGATTCGTCGTTTAAAGATAATTTTAAATAACGACCTAATATGCCAAACGATAATCTTCCCGGTCAACCTCCCGCGGCTACTGAAAATGTGCCAACCGCTGTTTCCGTGGATCGTTGTAAATTGCCACCGTTCTGGCGCGCGAATCCTGAACTTTGGTTTGTACAAGTCGAAGCCGTCTTCGCTGTACACCGTATCACAACAGACTCTACAAAATACAATCTAGCTGTGGCGAACCTTGATCCCAATACGGTAGTCGAAGTTGCAGACATTTTGCGTTCGCCCCCGACTGCAGAGAAATATACCGCCCTTAAAACCGCGATACTTGCACGCTTGATGGACTCCGCTGATAGGCAATTGCACAAAGCTCTTACAGGTCTCGAGCTGGGCGACCGCAAGCCCTCACAGCTACTACGGCAAATGCAGCTTTTAGCCGGAGATCGCGCTTCAAATGATGTCCTTCGTGTAAAATGGCTCGACTTATTGCCGCCAACCACGCGACGTTTGCTGCAGGTATTTAAAGCATCCAATCTCGAGGAATTGGCAGTTGCCGCCGACGAAATTGAGGACCTCAACCCGACAGTGGTGTCCACATCAACCAGCAGCTCCAACCTGGCAGCCGTGACGCAGCCATTCAAACCATCGCACCCGCAGGCCGATATGGTTGCCGCCGAGTTGGTTTCATTGCGCACTTCAATCAATCAGCTAACCGCAAATATCAAGTCGCTGGTGGCAGGTGCTCCGCGCACATCAGTTGGGCCACGAAGAGGTCGCAGTCGCTCACGGACGCCATCTCAAGCGCGGGAGAGCTCTTCCACATCTGCTCGATCTGAACGCGTGTGCTGGTATCATAATCGATTTGGCTTGCAGGCGAAATATTGTCACTCCCCATGTTCATACGCCAAGGCTTCGGAAAACTAGGTCCACCGACGCCGCATAAGGTGGTCGCCGTTGGTGAGTTACTCATTGAAAACCGCCTTCTTGTCACAGATAAACGCACATCCATGCGATTCCTAGTGGACTCCGGATCCGTAATCTCACTCATCCCCAGAAAGGCGATATCAAAGCGCCTTCCACGGCAAGAGCTGGACCTGCACGCAGCCAATTCTTCTGTCATCGCAACTTATGGCACGAAAGAATTATCACTGAATATTGGTCTCCGGCGAGATTTTACCTGGCACTTCACCATTGCTGACGTCCAATTGGCAATCCTTGGAGCCGATTTTCTGCAGAATTTTGGCCTTATCATCGACTTGCGACAAAAATGCATTATCGACCCGCTAACATCACTATCGACTCCTGCTCAACTCGCGCCAGCAGAAGTGCATAGCGTGGCAATTGCTCCAGGTGTCAGTGTGCCCGACGGTGACCTTGGGTCCGTTTATGCGCGGCTTGTCCGTGAGTTCCAGAGCTCGCCGGCTAATCGCAAAACGATGGCAGTCCTGTCCGACTTTCCAGTACAACACGTCATTGTTACTAATGGACATCCAGTTTTTGACCGTCCCCGTCGCCTGTCTGGAAAGCGTCTAGCAGCTGCGAAAAATGAATTTGATTTACTGTTGAAAAGTGGAGTTATCCGGCCTTCTTCAAGTCAGTGGGCCAGTCCTTTACATATGGTACCAAAAAAAGGTGGCGGTTGGCGAGCGACAGGAGATTATAGACGTCTGAATGCCACCACAGTCCCTGACCGCTACCCTCTACCTATCATAGAGGATCTTCTACAGGAAAGCAAAGGATCGGTATTTTCCGTCGTGGATCTCCATCGCGCTTTCTATCAAATCCCTGTGGCAGCCAAGGATATTGCAAAAACCGCCGTTACAACGCCTTTTGGGTTGTACGAATTTATTGGTATGCCAATGGGACTTCGCAACGCCGCCCAGACCCTCCAGCGGACAATGAATCATCTCCTTAAAAAAATGGATTTTGTCAAATGCTACGTCGACGACATCTTGGTCCATTCCAAATCGCACGAAGAGCACCGGCATCACCTCATTGAACTCTTCACAGTGCTTCAAGCTGCAAACCTCCATCCCAATTGGGCCAAGTCAACACTGGGCGCATCACAGGTAATTTTCGCAGGCTATGATGTTTCGAAAAACGGCTTCAAACCACCCGCTGCCAAGGTGCAAGCGATTCTCGACTTCCCAAAGCCACTCGATTCAACTGAGCTCCGGCGTTTTTTGGGTGTGATGAATCATTATCGTCGTTGCATCCCTCATGCAGCCCACCTGCAGGCTCCATTGACCGAGTTTTTAAAAGGAGCTGCAAAAAAGCAGGTTAAATTACAGTGGTCTGAAGCGGAAGAAAAAGCATTCATCGATTGCCGCGCAAGTATCGCTAAAGCTGTCGGCGCCGCCTTTCTCGAGCCCGCAGCCCGTCTCGCACTTCGCACGGACGCTTCTAGCAACGCCATTGGCGCCGCCCTAGACCAGTGGCAAGAAAACAAATGGGTTCCTTTGGCATTCTTTTCCCGCAAGCTCTCCCCCACTGAGCAACGATACAGCACCTATGATCGTGAGCTCCTTGCAGTGTTCGCTGCAATCAAAAACTTCAGGCGAATCCTTGAAGGACGCCCTTTCACAATTTTCACGGACCATAAGCCGTTAGTATACGCCCTCGCCCAACGTGCAGATAAGGCATCTCCCAGGCAAGTAAATCATCTGGATTTTATCGCTCAATTTGATGCACGATTTGAGTTCACCCCAGGAGCAGAGAACTGTGTCGCTGACGCGCTCTCTCGCTCATGCACCATCGCATGGCCAACTATGTTAGATGCGGCCACAATAGCGACGGCCCAAGTTACAGATGAGCAACTGCCACACTTACTCCGTAAGTCAAAAATCAAACTGCGTTCCCTCAACCTCGACGGCCACATGCTTTACTGCGTGGCTTATAACAATTTATTGAAACCGTACATACCAGTTCAATTACGACGTCAAGTCTTCGATGCTGTTCATAATCTGGCGCACCCAAGTGGTCGCGCCACTGCAAAAAAGATACAAGAAACGTACTATTGGCCCAGCCTAAGAAAAGACGTCTTTCGATGGGCACAGCATTGCGAAAAGTGCCAACGTGCCAAGGTCTCTAGGCACAATCGCGCAGAACTTGGTAAATTCGACACACCGAACACAAGGTTCCAACACATCCATGTGGACCTCATCAAGCTTCCACTCACGGATGGGTTACAATTTTGTTTAACGGTGATAGACCGTTTCTCTCGTTGGCCTGTCGCAGCCCCCATTACAGACAAGTCAGCCGAAGTGGTTGCCCGAGCGCTTTGGGAGAATTGGATTTGTATGTTTGGAACACCGCTCACAATTACATCTGACCAAGGTAAGGAGTTTGAGGCCAAATTAATTGCCGCTCTATATCGTAGAATCGGAGCTAAACACCAGCACACGACTCCTTACCATCCTAAGGCAAATGGTATGGTGGAGCGGCTCCACAGAACGTTAAAAACCGCCCTTATGTGCCACCCACAGACACCGTGGCCACAAGCACTGCCCTTGGTTCTCCTCGGCATGCGTACAGTTTTAAAAGAAGATTTGCAAGCCTCACCGGCGGAAATGGTTTTTGGAACCTCGTTGAGAATACCGGGAGAGTTCTTTCGCACCCAAGAACCGCCCGTCTCTGAAACAACTTTTTTGGACAAACTGCGCTGTCTCTCGCAAGCCATCCGTCCAGTTCCTGCGTCGAATCACGTAGGAAGCAAACCATTCTTTTTCACAAGCTTACGCACCTGCACCCACGTGTTCTACAAGATTGGGAAAATACGCAGCCCACTGGAGCCTCCGTATTCGGGTCTACATCTGGTCAAACGCCGTATTAACGATCGCAACTACGTCATCGAAGTAAATGGGAAAGAAAAAACAATTTCCACAGACGACCTCAAACCTGCATTCATTGAATTCTCCGAACCCAGCAAGCCGACTTCTAGATTAATAGAAGACAGCAGTCCAACTCCACCTCTGTTACAGGATCCTCAGGTATCGCCGCCAAAACCTGCTCGAATGTCACCTGCTACAAAAAGAAAAATGGTGTCGTTCCCTGCATCTTCAGAGCAGCTCACTGGGGAAGGAGTGGATGTAGCGCCGGTACCAAAGCGGCGATCACCAAGATTGCGCTCTAAGACCGATAGAGGGCGTCATGAAAAATGAGGGATATACGTCAATGAAATTCATTGCCGTTGTTACCTTGTGCTTGCATATGCAGTTGATCTGTTCATTATTTTAATTCATTAATTTAGTTATAGAATCGTAGTGTTAATTTATAGTTAAATAAACAGAAGATCTATACACCTTTAGAACAAACACATGATGAAACTGAACTGTGCAATCAAAACGTTCTGCTTACTTACGAAGAGCCCACGCCCACACTTTTACGAGGCACTCGTTGGTCTGCTCGAAGGAGACCTAAAATTAACGCAGACCTGGGACCTACAGAAAGAGCTAAAATTGAAGTACTACAAATTCAAAAAGAAATTCTTTTGCAAGAAAAGGAGCACAAGAAAATGTTACATGCCATGGAAGTTGAGCACAAGAAAAAAATTTACTTAATGGAAGAGGAAATTGGGAAGTGGTCTTGTTCCAAGTAAATGTTGCCATAAAATAAATCTAGTATTTTTTCGAAGAATGAATTCATTTAAATAAGTATAAGTACGTATTTTCAATTTTAATAAAAAATGTTTATTGTAGTAGGTATGTTAATATGTAATATAATTTATCTTTAAACTTGCAAAATACGAAAATTACAATCTAGAAAAATATATATCTACTAAATGTCTTCTATAATCATAGCCTAAATCATTTTCTTCGGCGGCTAAAGGAATATCTCCATCTCGAATTGCTTGCTGAAGCTCGTGTTCCATAATTAAATTTTCAATAGGTGGTTCTGGTTCTCCCCTCAAACGAGCCAAATTGTGCAAAACTGCTGTAGCCACAGTAACACAAAGTACATTTTCTAGCTTCATTCTACATCCATACGCTATTATAGGAAATCTTCTTTTCCAAACACCAAATAGATTTTCTACCTTGACTCTACTTTGAACGTGACTTCTGTTGTAGTTTCTTTCACCATCGTTCTGAACATTCAGAAAAGGTGTAAATAGATATGAAAGATTCATATAACCGCTATCTCCTAAAAAGTAAGTAGCGATTGTAAATTAATATTGAAAAAAGTGCTATTTACCCAACAAGATACTATTTCCAAAGTCTCCATTATTGAATCTATGCATTAATCGTGAATTTCTAAAAATGGTGGTATCGTGCGTCGAACCTGGCCAACGTGCGACGATATCTTGGAATAACAGGTCAGCACTTGTAACGGCTTGCACATTTACAGAGAAATATCCCTTTCTGTTTCGATATATTTCAGCATCAGCTCCACCTTTAAATTAAATTCTTATTTGTAGAAATGAGCGAATGTAAAGTATAATACTAAAAATAATGTGAAAAAAATAGTGTAGTAAGTACCTTGTGATTGAATTTTTATATGACATCCATCTATTGCCCCAATGACTCTAGGGAAACCAGCAATGTCGTAAAATTTATTCTGAGCACTTGCAATTTCAACTTCATTTCGAGGCATGTATATAAATTCCCTTGCAATTGATGCTATGAGCCTTGAAACTTTTGAAACAATTTTACATACTGTTGACTTGTCTGCATGCACAAAGTCTCCAACAGCAACAAAATGCCCTGCACTGGCATAAGCTCTTAACGTTAGCAAAAGTTGATTCATGGGACTGATGGAATTATTCCTGAATTTCAAAAAACATTATTGTACACCTTGAATTCGCACTATACAATAGTCACAAAAAGCATTATATGTAGGTAAGTATACAAACGTGAAACAAACCTATGAATGATGTGTACTTACCTGTTATGGAAGTACTCTAGTCTATGTTCTATTTTCTCCAATAAATATAAAGCAGTCCCTTTTTCGAGTCGAAATCGTCGAAAAAATTCAACATTAGAATAAATATTAAATAAATTTCTCCTAATGTGAATTTGCCGTGGTATTCGAATATTTTCTACTATGTCTACCATATCAACCACATCGACATCATCGACATCGATCAATTCCATTTTGAAAAGTGACGTTTGAAAGACAAAATGCCACTCATTTTCAACTTCACTAACAATAATGCCGACTTAAGTCGCAGATTTTCACGACTTAAATGTAAGGCTGCCTTTGTGAATATAAGATGCAGATTTGCGTTGGTGCAACGTTTTAAGATAGACTTAAGATTTAAGGCGATCTTAAGATTCAAGTAGAGCTTAAGATACATTGGAGAAACTGGGCATAAAACAAGAATCTAAGGTGTACCACGCCAAAGTACGGAGCGGATGATTTTTTCTATCGACGGTGTCATCTATTCCACAACCCTCCCTTTTTACCGAGATATTTTTCAATTGTTGTTTTAATTGCGCTCGAAAATATTTAAGTTGGGTTAAATTCGCTTCCAATCTTATCGGGCTTTCATTTATCTCATTATGAAGGTTATTGGTAATTGATTTCTCTAACAAACGTATGTTGGAATCGATTATTGAAATATGTCTAACAATATCGGTCTTATTTTTTAATGATTTAATTGAATTACGCGTGAGATTAACTATGTTATTGCTTAAACTCGTAACAGATTCCATTGTACCTACCTACGATTAAAACTATTTTCCCAGAGTTCTTCTTCCTCAAAACGTAACAAAAATAGCTCGCCAGCAAAGTTGCGCGAAATCCGAGAGGCCCTCACACTTACACACACACAAAGAGACGCTTGTCGGTGATGGAATATTACGTCAAAGATGCACAGAGGCGAAGTCATTAAATCGCGGAAATTGGAGGCCTTTTATACGCTCACTTCCGAAGGACATTAATGAATACTCCCTTTCTTACATGAGTGCTCGCTATTGTTGGTGCTTTTCTAGGATGCTTCGGGTGTCGCAGGTGTCCCATGCGCTTTCTGCTAACACCATGCAAATACGTTTCCAAGGTCGAGAACAATGGAGTCGGTGTTACTGCAGTTGCATGAGTGGGGTCTGGGAATCTTTGGTGTCGCAGGTGTCCCATGCAAGTACGTTTTCAAGGACAAGAACAATGGAGTGAGTGTTACTGCATGAGTAGGTCTTGGAAGCTTTGGTGTCGCAAGTGCCCCATGCAAGTACGGAGGACGATGGAGTCAGTGTTGAGCTACCAGGAAAGCAACCTGTGAGAACGCCCTTGATTTTCACTCTTTTGCTAACTCCATCAAAAACCCTCCCCATATATAGGTGGAGATTTTTCATATTGGATAATTATTAACGTGAACGTTAAGACCATGTCTTCCTCGATGTCTTCCTTAAACAAACGCGGCGGCGCGAAATTGAGCATTAAAAAAAAAGTGAAACGAACAAGAAGCCTTACGGTGGTGGTAGTGGCGGTGGCGAACATTCGGTGTTAAGAACGGCATTAGAAAAAAATAAACCATCTAAATTAATGTCATCAATCTCATTACCGAAGATGATGAAGGACACCAGGAAAGGTAAGGCGTACTCGCGCTCGCTTTCCAACATCCATACAGTGTTGTTTTATTGTTTTCATAGAACCACCACTACAACAGCCAACAACAACATGAATGAGTTGGAGGACTTTCTGAAAGAATACGAGGGCATCGTGAGCCACGTATATGCCCCACAAGTAAGGACGATCCCTCCACCTCACGGACAGGAGCAGCAGCAGATAAGGTAAAAATTGTTCATGAAAACAAAAAACAATTTAAAAAAATTAAACAAATTTTAAAAAATTATTCTAATATATAATTGTTTTTATAGCCATCATCAGTATCCGGTACAGATATTAGAACACATCATAATTCCCGCGCCGCCGCCACAGTCAAATCAGCACGCGGGGGATGGCTTACACCAATTTCACCCGCCGCCACCGGTCAATAACACCGTGAACAACAATCACTTTCAGTAAGTTATACTTGTAATATACATTAACTCTATTTTTAATACTGTGCTTTTCTCCTTATTGTTACAGAGCTTCGTTACCAAGGGCGGGTGCAAAGGACATGAATGTTCTAAGAGACATATATCAAAACATCTCCCCAGCAGCAGCAACAGATGTGCCGCCACCACCACCACCGCTGGACCCGCACAGGTGGCACGAGCCGTCCAACCCACAAGAGCTGGCAATGGTGTCCATGCGGTGCCTGGAGCAAATGTTGCCCATTGTTGAAACGAAGCAACGAGATTCCCAACTTCTTACCGAAAGGTTGGAAAGGGAATTAACGGCATCCCGAACACAACAGCAGCATCTCCAAAAAGAAATGCAACTAATAATTAATTATATGACATTTTTAAAACAAATGTAATTGTAATTGTATGTACATATTTCAAATATACGGAATTGATGCAATTGTTATTGTTATTAATATAGTTTACCCCGCCGCAAACTTATCCAATACGTGAGTTCGAGGAATTCATTGTCGAGTTCAAGCAAAAGTGAAACGGGGCGTTGCAGCAACCTACAATGGAAATTATAAATCTCATTTCATGATTTCTCCCTGCAATAAGTATTGTTACTAAGTTACGTACCTGAGTAATGATATTCCCGAATTTTAATTTCCACAAAAATCATAATTATTTCCGTAAGCAACAACACCATCAATGAGAAACGAGTGCAAGGCCACGAAGTACAAACTGATACTGTTCTATTTTTAATGCGCGCGCGAAATTGCAGAGTTTTTTATGTACACGATCTAAAGGAGGCCCTAGACGGTCAATTATTTTGATCAAAAGGTTCATTCAAGCGTGATTAACCATCAATATGTCAAATATCACCTACTTATACCCCGCGGATGTGGTTCTAACAGGGATATTGCCGATGGGAAAATGAATAAACACCCCTTTGTACATTTTTTTTTAATACACACAACTTTACATATACTTAGTCACACAAGGAAATAATCATTTTATTTACATCATCATTGGCCTTATCTCATGCACACAAATCGCCAGTAGATCTCACAACATCAATTTTTCCATACGGCGCCAACAACCCAAAATTTCCACATTCCACTTTAATTTTCATTACCAGCTCGTCAATTCTTTTTTTCCGTTGCTGCCGCTGCTGCTGCTGATGATGATTATGAACAATGACTCTTGACATCTCGTCGGTTCTTTTTATTATGGACAAATGTCTATTCCAATTAACACCTTATATTACACCCAACGGGCTTGAGCCGCCCCCCCTCCCCCCCGCGAAGAACACAAACAATACACTCCTTTGTTCTCACCACTCGACCTTGAAATCCAAATGGCCTTCACCCATCACCCCCTCTTACCAACGGCCTTGAGCCGACACCCCCCCCCAAACAAAACACCTCTTTCTTCTCAACACTCGACCTTGAAATCCCCCCCCCCCCTTACGCAATACCACTTTGACCTTGAAACGCTAACACTTCACTCATATGGCACTTTTCAATGTAAAGTGAGCCAGGATCGGCCTTACTATACTACTTATAGAAAATATGCCGCACTTCGACCACTCAACGCTTCCAGCAATCGCTTTCTATTATTCTTATCTGACTTCTATTAGAGAAAATTCATAGATATACATACCTTTAAAAATAAGAACCTATCATCAGGAGCCTCGATTAGAAATTTTCGTAAATCTTCGTCCGTAAACACCAAAGACTTTTTTACCTCATATTCCTTGTTAGTACAATAACGGGAGTTCCTGAACTGACGTTTCCAGGAAAAAATTCCCGAAGTTTTTTTCTCAACGATTTTATATGTATTTTGAACCGCTGAATCCGAATTTTCACTTTGCTAACACGCCAGAGGTGAGCTAGCTAACTGCGGCAGCCGCAAAAAACCGCAAATTATTTGCGGCATTTTTACATTTTCGCCTATAAATCAAAAGAAAAACTACTCTATACAAAATTGTAGTCCGCAAAATTTTATACATTTAACATGTAACAACCAAATCTGTAGGACCAACCAGACCGCCGCCAGCGGCCGCGCCAAAACGGCTACTTTTCGCGCAACTCTTGGAAAATGCAAAAATAGTGCTCCGACATATCTATTTAATATAATTTTTCATTTCTTATCAAGTGGTGGTATTGGTTTTTCATTTACATGCACTTTTTGACTTTGAAAAGTCACATGTGCTAACCGCAAAAGACGCAAAATCATCAAAGTGAAAAAAAACAACAAACAAGTGAGTAGTTTGATATGTCTATCCCACTTTTTAATCTTTAACATTGCCTGCAATTTTGAATGAATGCACCATACCGTTGAACATTTATATGTTATATTATATGTCCAACTTACCATTTCCCACATATAAGCAATCATTAACCTTTCGTCTACATTTATGGCATTTTTCATTTCCATCCACTTAACAAACTTTGCATATTCTTTCATATATGCATCTTTTGATTTTTTATAGGCTGCCCCCGTTTGGCTCTATGCGGGGGGGTACCCCTCCATCTAGGCAAGGTTTACCCACTAAAACCCTTTCTTCTATCGACTCGTCGTCACTCTCGCCAAAGTTGTCGGCATAGGGTACCGCCCTAGCATTCATCGCTATGCCGAACAGCCGGGGTAGGTATTCGTCCCCATAGTTGTAGCCATGGTTTTTGTTTGGTGCTCGTTTATTGGCCCCTAGTCAGTGCTTCCTTTTCCCTAGTTTGGACTACGGTGTACACTGTACATATAAATTCCTTGAATGAGTGCCCATACATAGCCCAGACCCTGGCCCACTCGGTCCACACATATATTCGCATCCAGACACATGATAACCGCCTTGCCACTTAGGTCCACATAAAACCCCGCGCACTTCCGATCTCCTTGAGGACTAGGAGGTTTTTTCTAGTCTCGTGAGCCGTCTGAACGGCCAAATCCAGGGCTTCCCGTCTGTTATTCAGATTTACTTGTAACACTTTGAACATCTTCGATAGTAGCTTCCTTATCCCTAACGTCTTGCGTGCTGGCCCTCGCGTCCTCGGCGCCTTCCACGTACCCTGCCCAGTGCGTATCATTTCTGGCCTGGGCCTGAGCCGCCTCCTCTTGCTCCTGCCTCGCTCGCGCCCCCTCCATCTCTTTTCTTTTCATGTCGTAGTTACACCGCCTGGTAAAGGCTCTGTGTCCTGTCCCCAGTCCTGCGCCAAGCCCCTCACACCGCCTGCACGTAGCTTCTTCCTTGCAGTCTCTCGCTTGGTGACCAGATTTCCAGCAGTTGAAACACAGTGCGCTTCTATCTACCCCCTAGCATTGAGCCCCAACATGCCCGACCTCCCAGCATCTCATGCACCTCACAAGCTCTGCGCTGATTTTCACTCGAGAGGATGTTAGACCCACGCGTAAAAACCCCTGTGTACCGATCGACTCCGCGGCGTGTCTGTTAACGTGTACATAGGCCACCTGCTGTCCGCGGTCTACGATTACTATATTTTTCACCATACACCTGGCACCAGGTGTCTCCCGTACTATGGCCTCAAGCACTTCCTCTTTGGTTGTGACTGCGTCTAGGTCTCTCACGCTCAGAGTACAGTTATCCTCCAGGATGGTGACTTCCTTGTCGCTAATCGCCGCCTTTATCTTGGACATAACCGGTTCCGCCTTCTCGAAACCCCTTTCCATTCACCCGCTCTTGTTTTCTGTATGCCCTCTATCTTTGTATCCACCCCTGACATGTCGGT